AGAGGATTATAGGGCTTATTAAGGGGGATACTAGGACTTTAGATTGTAGCTCATATGCAGCTTTCTGTAAAGGGGACGGGCATGCATCATAGGGATATAAAGGGACTGTCAGGAGATTGAAGGGGTCACTCTTGAGGATGTAGAGGTCATTTCCTTATTACAGCAATGTCGCCTGCGACTGTAGAGCCAAGATTTGCCTAATACCTCTTGAATTGGAGCTGCGACACGTAGAACAAAGCATTATTGCGTCGAAGTGACGTTCAGTTATAGGGGCTGAAGTTATGATCCTTCAAACTTGGCCAGGAGTTTACGCTCCATCCCAGACCATATCAAGCTGGTATTCGGCTGCTGTACGGCCCCAGGGAGCGGTCCACAGAAATCGCAGTTTCTCTTACATGAGTCACATGATCTTTGCTTGTTTATGGGAGCTGTCTTCATGCCTTAAGCAAAGCTCACCCTCAATACCTGGACCATGATCCCACAAGGGTACGTGATGAGACTGCGCTGGCTATTTTGTAGGGTGTGAGATATGCCAGTGCAATGGTAAGGGGATGACAAAGTCCCACAAGCAAACCGTGCCCAAGCTAGAGCACCAACCCCTTAAACCCCTTAAACTTAAGCATAAACCCAAAACCCCAAATAGTAGCTTCATCCCCTATATATCCCCTAATATAACCCCTGTATACCACCCCCTCTATACCGTAGATTGGATTAAATTAGTATAATATAATATAATATAACATAGTGAATTATACTAGAGCATATTAAAGTATGTTGTACTATGTTATAGTAGATAATATTATGTCATATTATACCATATTATACCGCATTATAGTATATTATACTACATCATACTACATTATTATACTGATGGAAGGAATGAAGCTTCTGGCCCTGTCGGCCCTGGCATTGCGCAGCTCCGGGCTGCTGGCAGCCAAGGCAGGCTTGAGGTTTGGAGATGAACAATAGTAATGATAGTAAGAATAGAAACAACGGTAATGATAGTAGTAACAGTAGTATGAAGTTTAATAACACTACTAATCTTGGGTTTGTGGTTTAAGGGTTGAGGGTTTAGTTTAGGGCTCTTGTGTCTGCAGTTTTTGGGGTTGAGTCTGAGTATGTACCCGCAGAGAATCCCATATGCTCCTGCAAAGAGGAGCTGCGCAACAAAGATTCTGTAGAGTTGCGGGATTGCAAAAGGAAGAACTGTTTAGGAGTTGCCGAAATAGACCTGGGGTTCAACGTCCTCTTGCCAAATGCTGTGGTCTGGTGCGGAAAAATCCACATGCAGCATGGAGCTACCCTATGAGGTTCAGGCTTAGAATTTGATTGAAGATTCAAGGCGGTCTGATTCCCAGCGACAATACAAGTAGTGGTTGGAGGAGCGCCCAACCATCATTGCCACCGCCAGCTGTTGCCCCGGTAGATTTCTGCTGCAAGCGAGTCTGTATTATCCAACAAGAAGGTGCGGTGCAAGCCATCAAACCCACATCTACGTAGTTGCCATTGCGGCCCTGCCAGAGGAATCTGACGTAACCATGGACCGTGAATCTTGAGAAAGTTCACATGCGGCTTCCTAAATATGAGGGATGTTTTTGTGTGATTTTTTGTGGGCAATGTATGTATACATATATGTAGATCGCAGGGTTCTGCTAAGCTGGAGCTCAATAAGCACCACCCAGCGGCAGACATGTACATGCTCTGTTTGAGTTTTCTTTAGAGCAAGTTCTAATCATCTGGACTCAGATGTGTAAGAGGCCTGGGAGGGACCGCCAGCAATCAAAGGCCTACTGGCTGATAGTATATTATGGTATATTATGGTATATTAAAGTATATTATGGTACATTATGGTATATTATGCTATATTATGTTATATTATAGTATATTACATCTTGACGTGGATCCCCGAAGCCCAGACTTAAGCTTTCTGGCATTCCTCTCCTTGACCTGGAAGAGAGGGAAAAGTTCGGACTTGGCCAAGACCATAAGCCCTGAGGTGCCGACAGAGAACCGACCTGAACTTCTGGAAGTGCGCGAAGGTGCCGGAGGCCATCGTTCATGCATATATTGTGTATATATAAATACAAAAATACATATGAAATATGTATGTATATATATATATACAGATGTGGAGGTTTCCTTCAATCGTGAGCTCCTTGCAGGGGCTCCTATATGAGTAGGACCATCTTGCAGCATTTTCAGAACGCTTGAGCCCAAATTGTGTATGGCTCATGAATTGCCGAGGAAGCCAATCATCTCGACGTTGCATTTCCTCAAGTGATTATGTTTCTGCATTAACACGATCCAACTTCACGGTTCCCAAGGCAAGGGTTCTCCTTCTTGGTTCTTAATTAAAGTTACCAAGTTACGAGATGCCCAGCGGTATCATTCTTGAGATTGCGCAATGGTTACTGTATAACAGGCGATTTGAGGGCATAGGATTGCGAGGCATCTTTCGGCAACAACAGAGAATCATGGCCCACTTGTTGTTCGTGTTGCTCTTCTTCTTCTTGTTCTTGTTCTTGTTGTTGTTGTTGTTGTTGGGGATCTGGCTCTGGTGTTATGTGAAGCGCCCCTGCACTTATGGCGTCAATAGCCATATAGCTGGGTGTAAGCTCAGAACCAGCCTTCCGGGATGCTCGGCCTATGAAGCCCAAACAACAGTCAGTAACAGGCAAGACAGTCTCCCCAACTGCTATACATCTCGGTACAGTCTTACATGATTCTTATGCAGAGCCCTAGAACTGGCCATGTGGGCCAGGGGCTGAGGCAACAGACTCCGCCTTGTAATCTTCATAGGAAGGGGGCTACAGGAGGACCCAGATTCAAGACTTGCAAAGAAGCAAAGACATTTTAAAACCAAACACAAGTTTCGAGAATTCCCGGTATTCTTGAACCTGCCCTGTAAGCACAAAGATAACCCTGAGATTCCAACTAGATCTAGCGTCGTTTGCTTGTAAACTAGTAGCCTCAGCAAGTCACCTGACAGAGCTTCGGATCATGCTCTTGCATTTAAAGCTGGTATGGAGTGAAGATGTCTCCACAGCGGCCATTTGGCTAGCCCCCTGAATAGTTTTCCACCAGCCGTTATGGCAGGACTTCGCCTCCGAGGGCAAACGCACCACGCAGCAATCCAGGACTGGCATGTCAGTGTAAATGCCTTGATTGGCCTCAGTGTTAGACTTCTGTAATCCTGGTTGAGACGTTCAGGGTCAAGATGCAACGATTTGGTACATGGTTATGAGACGTAGGGATTGCCACTACAGGGTATCCATGAAGACCATGATGTCTTAGCTGCGGCTTCCTATGAGGAATCACTCAGGGCTGCTGTATGTCAAGGTATCTGACCGATTCTCATGTTTGGCAAGTGACCTGCAACAAGAGCCCTACACCAGAACAAAACTTCCTGTCAAACCACAATTGCACAACTGGCACAAAACCTGGTTGACAGCACCTGAGCTAGAGATGTATGTTACAGTGCTTAAGGGAATTTTTGGGACATGCAGTGTTTTCCAAGAGCCCGTAAGCTAGCGCGCTATGGCCTCTAACGGCCCTCTCTGATCTTGACGGTTCCCTGCCTGAACCAACACGAGCGACATAGAGGCCTCCAAAGACTTATTCAATGAGATGGCTGGTGCTTATCAAACCATGCCTGCAGCTTGGATGAGGATCAAGCAGACCCTTCCCTCGCCACGCCGCGTGGCCAGCAAACACGCAAGGAAGATGCTAATTGTGTAAACAGACTTTGTCTGTCCCGCTGTCATAAGTAGGAGTAGCAGCAATGGTGACTGTGACGGGTGGCGGTGGCGGCGGTGGTGATGATGGCAACGCTAGCCGTATTCGTCGTCGTGGTCTTCGCCCTCCTCGTCCTCGTCGTCCTCGTGCTTGTGGTCACCGTCGCCGCCGCCGGCTTAGTAGTAGTAGTAGTAGTAGTAGTAGTAGTAGTAGTGGTGTAGTAGCAGTGGCAGTGGCAGTGGCAGTGGTAGCAGTAGTATCAGTAGCAGGAGTAGTAGCAGGAGTAGTCGCAGCAGTAGTAGCAGTATGGTAGCAGTATGGTAGCAGTATGGTAGCAATATGGTAGCAGTATAGTAGCACTAGTAGCAGTAGCATGCTAGCTGTAGTGTCATCAAATAGCAAAGTAGCAGTTGTGGTGGTAGTGGTAGTGGTAGTGGTAGTGGTAGTGGTGCTGCAGTGGTGGTCAGTGGTAGTGGTACAGCAGTAGCACTAGCACTGAGCGGTCTTGATCAGTGACAGCAACTGCAGCAAGATGAGAAGGCCATACCACGTGGACCCAGGTTCGATTCGGATTTGTACCCAGTGGCGCCCGAGGATGAGCTTCGGAAAGGCGACAGGTGTGGTTGTCCGGGAAGCCTGACGACCAGAAGCATCAACTGCACAATGACAAGCGCGCGCTTCCTTAGTCCAAGTGAACATTCCTACCGTCCTATCCTGGGATTATTCAGGGAAGATTCACGGGCAGGACTCATGAACACGCACGGAGGTCCTTTACTTGCTAGATCCCAAGTAGTGTGAAACTCATACACAGCCTACGCATACTTATTACCTAATCCGGGCTACTGGGTTTACTCAAGTTGTGTGTAGGCGGTGAGGATGGACAAATTGTCTTTGGGAGTTTTGGGGTTGGGAACACAACACCTTTCGTGACGATGGCGTCATATGAGATGGCTCGGATTTGCACCCTACCAAGTGCCCCAATCAGGAAGAAGAGTGCGCTGCAGATCATTCAATGCTTGTCCGGGCACATCTGGGCACATGAATTACTTTCACTCAGAGAATCTGTTCTGCCGAGCCCTGTCCCAAGGCGCTAAACGACCGTAAGAAAAGTGTGGCGACTGTTCTGACAGTCGCACACTCTTGAAGAATCAAAGTCTACCTAGCTCAACCTTACACCTGCAGACCGGAGAAGAACTCAGCAATTTGGTTGCAGCATCTTTGCTCAAGACACGTGACCTCGTGAGCAACGGTATCTCGACCACGTAATGAGCATTTTATACAACTGCGCGCGCCCCGGACGTTGAGTGGGGTCCTCCTGTGCCCGGCCCATAGACTTGACTAGGTGCAAGCCCTGTCGCCAGGCGTGGAGGCTGCCAATCATTTGGTACCTCCGGGCTCATCTGCCCCACGATACACGCCCAAGGTGGGCTTTGTCTGAGCTATAGGGCTGTGCCACAGTAATCAGGACTTCAACTCTACAAGTATGACACGACGAGCTAATTCGCTTTACAGTCCGTGTCGGACATACTCCAGGGCTGCAGTGAATACAGACTTCGGGTTTGAGGGGCTCAGGGCTTAGGGCCTAATGTTTCATTCGACGTTCATCTTTGATTTGCTACGCCTTCCCTCCTTTGTTGGTGTTTACGGGGCAGCCGTTCTGTAGACAATCCGAGCATTTCGCGACTTGCGAGTTTCTGCTCGTTCTCGAAGAGAGTATTGACCCTATGGGATAAGTGTCGCAGACAGGCCTCATGTTGTGCAGGCGACTAACCCCAGTGACTTGCAATCTCAGACTCACACCTGGGTTCTGCTTGGGTGTCCGAAAGGTTAGGGTTTATTCGGGGCCATATTATAATAGGGACCCAAAGAAGAGCCGTAATTCTGACAACCACCAGACGCTTTTGTTCCAGAATTCTGGCAGAATGAGGTACATGTGTTCGCATGGACGAGCTAGGTCCTCCCCCTTTCCGGCTGTTGATCGGCTATTGAAGGCTAATCAAGTTCCTGAGAAAGATGCAGGTTCCCCTGGCCCTGACTAGTACTGAACAGATCAGTATACGTGAGACGGATTAGCAGAGTGTGAGCCAACGCATGAAGAGCTATTGAATGATGTGGTCTTTACCCTGCTGTGAGGAGAGGCTACCCTGCCTCAGACCCTGGAAGACTCTCTATCCTATAGACCTTGGAAGCCACTCGAATTCTTGCAGCCTCCTGCACACTTGCCCGCTTTTAACTGAACCCACCAAAGTAGCCTGAACAGTGACTTTTCGAGGAGGCACAGATCCCAGATGCCTTTCCGGCGAGCGCAAAGACAACACCTGGAGGAGTTGAGGCAATGGGCTTCCTGTTTGGGCAGATTGCAAGTTTTAGGTCTGAGGGCTCCCTGAATCGGATGATTGCTTCTTTCATTCCACGGATCCTCTATTCTGAACATATTTGCATTTTCCACCAGAGGTTGTGACTATGCTGTCAAGGTAGGTCCAAGGTCCAAGGGAGGAGGGGAAGCTAGTGAAGGCGCCTTCCAGCGTCGGAGAGCATGAATCTCCTCATCCTGCCATTAAACCTTTCCCATCCAGAATATGAAGAAAGTGCCTTAGAGAATTTCCATGCATTGGCGAGTAGCGGAATTTCCAAGTGCCATCTTGCTCAGGGTCCGTACATGAAGCATTTAGGAGGGGGAGCGCGGTAGAGCCTCAATGCTTCAGGTGTTAAGCGACTGCTGCGGAACCCGTGATCCGTAGATTAAAACGCGGGTCGAGCAATGTTCAAATTGGGGTCTCTGTTCCCAACGGCCCACCGTTGAGGGTTGAGGGACACGTGCGTGCAAGGGGGTTTTATTCCAAGGTCTGTATATGCTCAGATTTCTTGAAGTAGGTGTGCTTCCGAAGAGTAGCATCACAAGCTGGTTATCCTACATTCTCGCGCAACTCCCCATCGAACCCTGAACTCCTAGATTACATGCTTCTGGAACAGTCCACAGACTAAACTAAACCCGAGACTTTCCACGACAGCATATTAAACTTGCTCGAAGCAGCTTCAGAAATTCAAGCACAAGACACTAGGTTCACTCCAACTAATTAGGCTCGTGTAGGGTTAGCACAAACCAGTTAGCTTAAGTAGGGTTCCCTCCTTTTAGACTATAAGTTATAAGCCCTATAAAGCGTAATTAAGGGCTCGTTGTCAAAGCATGTCAAAACCTGAAGTAGCAGGCAATTGCAAAGCCGCTGCGCGGACAGCGTCTCGAGTGCCATGATTCCCCGCCTACATGGAAGGACTGTGTGGAGTTTGCGCATCACGGGTTAAAGGTTTAGGGTCGAGATTTTAGGGTGTTGAGGTTGGTAATTCTCCCGAGGCGTCGTGGTGGGTTCCCTCATATATGCCAAATGAGCTGATGCAATCCTTGGGAGGGTCGATTTCACTGTAGGCGTGGGCTTGCTAAGCTGTCCTCAGCTGTGTACGGTGTTGACGGTGTCGAGCTTAGGGCCAGCTTTGTGACAATAAGCACGGTTTTGGGGCTTGAGGTCTTGAAGCAAGGCGCCAAAATCGAAGGGCTTCAGAATTCGTGACAAATTGAATGCAAACCTGAAAAATTCAGTAAGTGTGAGGCTACATTATTTGACCCTTATACCCAACAGAAGTATGTGCACTTCAGCTCCAAGGTTCTCCATGCTCGGCCGGTGTAGCTTGACCCACAGGCCTTACGCGCGCAGGATTTTTGTTTGAGGAAGTTTGTTCAAGGCAACTATTGTAAGGATTTCCTGTCTGAGCTCTCATCCTTCACCCGCAAGGGCCTGCCAGATGTAGAAGTTCTGTCTTGCAAGCATGATGCCAAAGCCTCAGCCATGGCCCCTGCTCTATGGAGTCCAGTGAAAGCTGCCTCATGGGTCTAGGCGGAACTTTTCTCAGTGCGATCCCTAGACACTCCACGCTATCAGCACTCAAACCTATCTGCCGAACCCTCGCGCTAGGCTCCTCGTAGACAAATGGTCAAAATACGCACCCGAATAGATAGAGACAGCGATTGAGACCTAAACTTTGTTCAGTTTGCTCCCAGGATGCAAAGAACAACAGCTGCTACCAGTACGAGAGAGGCAGGGTGTTCGTATATGGGCAGCATCCCACTGCTTGGCATAGTCTACATTGCCTGCCTGAGACCCAAATCTCACGAGGATCTATGGTTCCTCATGCCCTGGTGGGAATTGCCAGTTACATGTCATGCAAACAGCAAACACAACAGCAGCAATCAATGACCCGTATGGTTGCCCAGCTCAGTACTGCTGCTGCGGGGTTTGAAGTGAAAGCCGGAATAATTGCCGATCCTATTCCATGCATGGCATACTGTGGCATAGTGTACCCGAAAGCCCTAGCAAGACAACTGAGGCTCCTACACCTAGAATAACAAACAATGCCAACCTAGTTTTGAACAAGAAAACCTTCTTGTGAAACCCTGCAAACGAACGCATATTTCCAACTGCGTGGAAAGTGATGCGTTATCATCAGAACTTTCACATCTAAATCTTGAACCTCCGATCATCCTTAGTACACTCACATGATGCCTCTGATCCAGAGAGGAACCCCAGCGCCCCCCATAATTCTAGCTCATAAACGGCCCCCATTCGCGCATTGTAACCGGAAACGGAGCTTCAGAATCCTTCCGTAATCCCTGCTACCTCCTCCTATGAAATCCCTGGTGCGGCAAGCCATCCTCAAAAGAAGTGGAAGCCAGGACAATGGTGCAATGCACAGGGTCAAGCCGGCTCTGGCTGGAATGCATCTTGGCAGAGTGTATCTGTTGAAGGCTTCTAGGACTTCAGGTACAGGTTTTCCACTTGAGGGAGTTTGGGGATCTGAGCCTGGAATTTCGGCTCAAGGCTCTGTGTTTGGGGATGTGGGTCATGAAAGGTCTACAGGGACTAAACTGAAGTGTACGATCGGTTGCAAGGAGTACGTAAACATGCCGTAGTCCTTGTGAGTAAATATCAGAGAGAGAGAGAGAGGGAGAGAGAGAGGTAAAGAAAAATAAAAAGCGTAAAAGGGAGAGGTAGACAGAGAGAGGGAGGGGCGGAGGGGCGGAGGGGCGGAGGGAGGGAGACAGAGAGAGAGTGGCAGGAAGGTAGGTAAGCGAAACACACGATCTCATGTTCTCAAGCACGTGCGTGGAGGGGTCGCATGTCGGTCATGTACTGTTCGTGGGAGACAGTCTGGAGTTGTTTCATTATGAATAATGAGCGAAGCTTTAGCTTTCGGCGTCCAGGCTGCAAAATCCGCGAACACGTAATTACAAGTCATTTTTAACCTTGATGATGTGCCTCTTCGATCCTTTGATCTCCTGTTGTGCCTCCTCTTCACACCCACTCTTGCTATGCTTGGATGACGTCTCAAATGAGTCTAGATATTCCAACTTAAAGGAGCTACAGCAAAGTTTGCTTTTTTTACAAGAGCTGCAAAGACCAGGTTGCATCCCTCAGTCCGTCTCAACTGAATCAAAACAGTGATATTGTTTGATGAGGCTCGCATTGAGGTGGGTGGTTGCAGGCAATTTGCATTACAAGCGGGATTACAAACAGTATTCGCAGTACATATGTATCACTACCCTCAACAAGCCCATGACCATCATCATGAACCTACTTCCAAGTGGCTTCTACAGAACCAGGCCACCTGGGGGGCTTTTCTTGTGCCTTGGCGGCAGTCACGATTTATGTGGGTTTAGGTGAGGCACCCAGCACTGCAGCTAGGAAAGGGCGCAAAAGTTCTGTATTCATAGACCCTTAAACGCAGGCTTCAAACTACATTTGTCATGTGTTGAGACCCGGAGCCCTAGAGCGTCATCTGACGGATTGCTCATGGAGCATTTCTATTTCGAAGTCAACCTTCATGTGAGGTTGGAAGAAGTTGCTTCGAAAGAGGTTCGACCTCCAGTCCATTTCACGTTCTTCGTTTTTTGGAGGCGTTTCCCTCAGAACAACAACTACGTGCAAAACTATGGGCATGCCGCATGACAACCAGAGGATGAAGGCGAGACACTCATACAGCTGGAGGCCAGGTGGCATCCATATTTGGAATGGCTAGGTCCTCTTGCCTGGATGTGCCCGAAATACATATCCTTGTCGCAATGCCGCAATGCCATCACGGCGCGACCAGAATTCAGAAGGCTGTAAGGTGTGCACGAGCATCTCTTTTCTTTCGGCTTTTATGTGACCCTTTTTATCTGCAGATCCCTTTCTCGTCAAAATGCTCGGGATCCTCACGATACGAAGCCTGAGACACCCGCTCATATCCAGCTACCAGGCAACGTGGCTATGCGCCCCTTGGGGCTTCGCGCATTTGGGATCCCGGAGCTTTTGTACTTACAGGGCTGAGTGCGCACATAGACAAATTTGTTGTTGCAAACTCCCGGCACGCATGACCTTGCAACAGCCAGCCCTAACTGAAGCTCTGGTCCCGAACTCACAAAGATAACTTACCCTCAACTCCATCAACTCTGGGTTTTGAGACCTGCATCAGTCTCACGCTCGAAGATGCATCTCTCAGTGCTCCCACGTCCTCTCGTCCCCTGACTCCCAGGAATGGTCCAAGAACATCGCAGGAGGTCCTGTAGCTGCCTGTTGCAACGTGGCTCCGTTTTTCGGCATGCGTGCCTCAGGATCTGGGATGGCAGAATTCCTGCGGCACTTGGGATACAGGTAAGTTGGTGCAATATTTCTACTGTCCAAAACAAGGAGTCTTAGATTTAGGGATGCCTTCTTGGGGAGGAGAGAAAGCAATTTAGATTCCGGGAAGAAGCGTGGTGAAAGAGAATCAAGCATGGAAACCATATCTTCTGAGGTATGCGCCTGGGAACTCTCAATTTGTGTTTTTCAACGGGAGATATGGGTGGCAACTCAGGCGCCTGCGGCGGCGGTGTGAAGTTTGTTGCCTCCGTAGCCGCCGATCTGCACTTTGAAGCTAAGGATTAAATCGGACCCCCAAATCAATACCGTACCAATTGTCTTCTTTCATGATCCCCTTGTAGCCATATCCATGCTGCAGACTAATCATTTACGTGCCTAGAATGTTTGGTTGGTTGAGGGCATCAGATTTGTGGTGTTCTTGGAGAGACATGGTGGGGATGAAGACAATATGTTGCCAAGGTGATAGCCAAGAACAGTTAAGGTGTTGGGTCGGAAGGGCTCGCGGCCATGGTTCCGGCTCTAAGGCCAATAGCTAGGCTTCCAAAAGTGCACACCTTTTGCCTTGGACGGAAGGGCTCCCAGGCCACTATGCGTGGTTTCAGGTACGGCGTAAAGTTGCGGGATGCATTGCGAAATTGTCCATCGGCAAAGACCAAGTTGAGAAGTTGTCACTGGTGATTACATGGAATTTGGCTTTGCAGGCCTGTAGCGCACAGGATACAAAGCTCAGACCTCAGAGGGAAAACAAGCCATCTTGTTTTCGAGCAGCAGTATGAACAAATATTGACAAGACCCGAATGAGCTTACTCTTCAGCGGTCAGGGGTCAGGCTTTGAAAAAATGGCTCCTGAATATTATGGCAGGCTGAAGCAACGAACCTTCCTGAGAAAAGCATGCCCGGAAACTTGCCAATTTACATACAAGCCCGCAGCGTGTCACTAACGCCCAAGGATTCGTTGCTGTCGGCTTTGGTATCTGTAGCCTTCTACGATGAACCTAGGAAAGTCGGCGTCCATTGTCTTCCCGCCGACTGGTAGCTCCAGAGGTGTTTTGGACAGTTGGATGTTTTGAGAGTCAAAGGTTTTGAGGTTCAAGGAACTGGGGCGCACCGTGTAAGCCAGAAAGCTGGAACATCGATATCCCAACCCTGGCAAGAGGGAGGTGAACCATAATTCAGCCATATTCAGCCTCTATCTGTGTTCCAACTTTTCGCGCTGGTGGCTTGGTTGGATCAGGGCTTGTGCTTGTAGATGCATCCGCCTTCCTCCCACCTCCGGATCATAGATAGGCACACTGCCAAGTCGACGTGCAGTGGTGCTGGGTGGCAGAGCTGTTTCTGTGAGATGTGGGGGCAGGGGAGGTCCCAAGATGGGAAAAAAAAGAACGGGAGGAGCGAGGGCAGAAGAGATTGGGGCCTGATCCTGGTTTGGCTGTGGGCGGAGGCAGGAGCAAATTCAACAGTTCAAGAACAATTAAAGGGTCAAGGGATCTGGGTTCTGAGAGTTTCATATTTGAAGGCTGGGTGGGGGTCATGGTTATACCTTTGGGGTTGGGGGATGCGATAATCACCAATAGTACACACATGCAAATACAAGTAGAGAAAGTATCAGGGTTTGCTGATGCTGGGCTGCTTAACGTAGAACCTGTTCGGTGCAGTTGCTGTAACTTTGCTGTTGTATCGTAAATTTCAGGTTGAGTGATTCAAAAGAAGCTAGATAAAAGATCTAAACAATGGCAGAACCTCCGGCATCCGTGTTGCAATTGCCATCCAGGTCTTTGCAAAGCTCTGCATATATAGATCCATCTAAAGGACTCCGCTCACAAGCGCTTCTTCAGGCACACCCTTCCAGAAAATCAATCCCATTACGTAGCGACATTGTTTGAGATTGCGTCACCAGCACATCATCCATGTGACGCTTCAAGGTCAATTTGAGATCAACGTCTCAGGGGTGTAGTTGTTTATCATTTGCAGGTAGGGCTCAGGGATTCTGTTTAACTTTTAAGAATGCAAAGGAGTTAGGATCATTGGTGTCACATCCTGACAACATGAGTGTGAGGTTGTTGGAGTTCAGCGGTATAGGGTCCAGGTTTTGAGGCTGAAGGCTTTCAATTAATTATGATCTCAGTGTGTAGGGCTTGGTTTCTTGTCCATATATAACCCCAATACATTCCCTTATTCCCTACTCATAGGAACCAGTAAGTTAAGCTGTCATACGAAGGATCGCTTGGACATGGAGTCCTTGGTTGCACCAACAGAGACGCTTCCGGAGGAAAGTGCCTAAAGTTTTGGGGTTCAGGGTTTTACCCCCTACCTGGACCCTGATGGTACCTTGAAACAGGCGTATATGGTCCCTATTTTACGGTATGTATAGAGGGGTAGATGGGGTTGCCAAAAATCAAATAGGGATCCATTTTTTGATTGCGGTATATAGGGCTTCCAATTTTGAAGAACGAATCAATGCAAGCAGATTGTTTTGCGGGAGAGTGTCTGAGAGGCCTTCCTTGGAAAGCCAAAGTATGAGTGAGTTCAAGTGCGCGTGCTTGGGGGGGCCTTGTGCTAGCTCTCGGAATACCCTGCCTCACACGGAGAATAGTCAGGGGATGCAATGCGCGAGACTTATCAAGTGTTGAAGATTGTTATTGCTCATTTTTTTACGGTGATGAGGTTGGAATCATGGCTTTCTTACTTCAAGCAGTGTTCCGGAGTACCTAGCAGCACAACTTGCCCTGTCGCCTTGGACTAACTATCCAGCAGCGAAGGACCTACTGGTACGCACCACGACCCAATACCGAGGTCCCGAAAGATTCCTGTTTGAAGTCTGGACTTGATTGTTTTCGCCAGGCGGCTGACTCGCCTCCCTGACGCCATATTCTACCACTACTTGGGGTTGCGCAAGTTTGTGACCAACATGTCGACGTGCACGAAACTGGTGTTTTCAGCACATTTCATGTCTTGGATTTGTCTTCGGATGCAAGAAATGTTGCCGGAAATAATGTTTTTTTCCTGTTCAAAACCTTACGTTTGAGGCTGTTCACACCGAGTTATGCTACGAAGAGGCTGTTAAACCTGTAACTTACAATGTTTTGCGCGCGGGCACGCAGCACATCCATGCTGGCCAAGACGATGACGCTTATGTCCCTAGTCCATCCGTGATCGTCTAGTGCATCCATGATCGAGAGCATCCATGCTGGCCAAGATAATAAGGTTGATGTCCCTGGTGCATCCGTGATTGAGAGCATCCATGTTGGCCAAGATAATAATGCTCACGCCCCTAGTGCATCCATGATCGAGAGTATCCGTGCTGGCCAAGATAATAAGGTTCATGTCACTAGTGCATCCGTGATCAAGAGCATCCATGCTGGCCAAGACAGTATAGCGTTCATGTCCCTGGATCCGCGATCAAGAGCATCCATGCTGACCAAGATGAAAAAGTTCATGTCCCTACTGTAGTGCGTCCATGATCGAGAGCATCCATACTGGCCAAAATAAGAACGTTCATGTTCCTAGTGCATCCGTGATCGAGAGCATCCATGCGGGCTAATCTTAAAGGGCAACTTTCCCTAGCAACTCTCTAGCAGCACTGGAGAACTCCCTATTGTTCCCTTGCAGACCCCTGGCAGAGCAGCCAGGAAGCCCAAACAAAGCAGCAACCTCCACGGTTGCAGTAGAAGCAATAGCAGCGCACATAGTACTGACAGGTCATACCACTATGCACCTGACAATGAAGTACATGCCTACCTCAAATCTTACTGGTACTTCTCCTGATGTTTCTGCTACGGCCTGTCCTTTCCGCCTGTAAAACACGAATGCCAACTAGAACCTTGGGAAAAAGAGCTTCAGGAGTTTCGGGACGTTGCCCCTGTGATGGCTCCCTTGGATTGGATCCCATCGAAGTTCGCTCACATACTGGGAGCTTCGGAGCAACAGAGGCAGCCAGGTTTCAGGAGTGAAGGCTTTGAGCTTAGAGTCTGCCAGTGCATGTAGAAGGGCCTCTTGTACGACGGCGCGTAATGCCATGTGCCCTATTTCTGTCTCGTACATGGTGGGCAGGGCAGCTAGCTGTGCTCTCTAGGGGTTCGAGGCATGATTTGGAGTCCAGTTTTGGACAAAGGCTCATGACAAGGGATACAGGGACTGAATTGGGGGCTGCTGGGGCATTTGGTTAGAAGCTTGAGAGCTCGTCATAGAACACTCCATGTACCACATATCGATATTTGCTGTGGGATAACTGTGGCGTATAGCTGTTGATACAAATGGGAGCGTTTCCCACTTGGAACGCGAGAAGCCCTGTAATTGAACCCAAATCGTCAAGACATGCCCATGTATATATATATATATGTACCTCGATTGTTCCTAGGTCAGCACGCCAGGTCAACATGACTCGCCATAATTTGTCACTCCTGACAACGGCACAGCAAGAGGGACAAATGGCTTTTCTTGCTGACCAGTTCAGTCAGACCGCAAAGGTCCAGATTACCGCGCTTGCAATACTTAAGGCAGCGAGGCAAGACATGAACAATGTCGAGCCTCCCGGGCACCTAGCAGAATACAATAGAATGCATTTTCAAATCTAGGCAGCGTCTTTGTAGATTAAATGCTTCGTAGATCAAATGCCCATTTAGTGTCTTTGCTGCGAAGCCATGCCCCATGATCGTCACTTGACGAGCCAGTGCCCAAGCTCCGAGAACCTTCCCAGTGCAGTAAGCCATACACAGCACTGTAGAATTGTCAGCAGACGTAAATAGGTCACCTAGGCTACCCCAGGACCAGGGCTACAGCTTGATGCGCTAGGTAGACTCGTATGTTTTTAAAGAATTCCTGAGGTTTGGGGCTCAAACATCGCGCCCCGGTTGGAGAATTCACCCATTTAGTTGTCGCTGTGGTCGGACATGACCCTCCGCAACGTGTTGCCGACTGCCGATTTTATGCGGGCATGCCCCGGTGTGAGATCGTCTAGCAACGCACTAGGTAACCTTCAAGATGTAAGGAAAGCTCCCAACCCGACTGTGGGTCTGCCGTGTTGCCGGAGGCAGCGGCCCGACGTGCTCGGTGACTTGTACTCCATTGGTGCCTGGCAGGGGTTGGGCTTTAGGATTTCAGGACTTTGGTCAGATAATCTTGCGAATGGCGAAGGGAAGCTACAAGCAACCTTCGCTTCAATTTCCGAAGCACCCTGCTGCCATGGCGACGTCGTTCTTGCAGAGTGGCCCTCTTCAAGCTCAATCACGTCTACCTCTGAATTGTGGGCGCCAAGAACACATTGAGAAGATCCATTATCAACACCAGACGCTTCCAGCATGAGTCTACTCTTGACGGTCATTGGTAAAGTTGGGTGTAGGGGACAGGAGATGCTAGCGCACTTGGACTGGACGTCCGGTTCTGACTTTCGTGCCAATACACTGTCAGCATACCAGGCTCTGATTCTTTAAGCCCCGACTCTCGGCTCCTTCTTCTCTCAATCTCCTTTCAACAACAGGCCAGAAGGACATGGAAAACCCTGCGCACGCAACCTTGCTGACGGTGTTTTTGCGCATTTGTTTTCATGTCCGTCTAGCTGAGGCAACCCCCTAAGGGTCCAAGTAGTGAAACGTAGAGAATTTGGGCCGAAATGGGTTCCCATATAGGTACTTTGGGCCCTGTATTATCTATCGGAATTGACAAGTTCGAAACCTCTATCCCAAACTAGCCAAATCGATAGCCACAATATGCGAGGGCATGCCGAGTGACCCAACTACACAGATTGAGTGGTAGCTACAGTAGCTTATACGTCTCCCGCCAGAAGTTCTCATCTCGGAAATCACATTGTTGCAGTTCAGCACTACGCTCAGGTCTTTCTGCACGCTTTTTTGCAGCTCTACCGGGCGACGATTGCTCAGGCCATAGAGTTATGCTGATTCTACATGAACAGTAGTTATCAGAGATAATTGCAATACCAACGCGGGTCTCATTTATTCTTATTGGCAATTCTGGAGGGGAGTGTTCTCGCACCGATGCGGAGAAATTTGTGCTGTGACGGTACGGACTGCATGGGTTCTATATACGTCTTCTGACTGCCGCAAGCGATTTTTTGTGACAGATGACGATGCCCCAGTGTCTACGTCCTGAAATGTCTTCTATTTTGATCTAGAGTCTGTGACCTGTGATGTGATGCTTACTGCAGAGAGCCCAGACAGAAGGTTATTGACAGGAAAGTTGAATTCAGTGACAATTCAGGAAGATGCTATATTTCCGGGATCAGCATGTTGGACATTGGGGCGAATGCGGCCTCAAGAGGTCACTCCAGCCTCAAGCTAATTTGGCAGGTGCCGCGCGCACAAAATGTCCAATGGCTTTTTGATTAGAGGGTCGCGCACAGTTAGCTCTCAATGGATGATGTTAACGATCCGTATCTAAGGCTCTAAGCGAGCTGTAGAGTGAGCTGTCCAGTGGCCCAGACGCGGTAGCCGAGGGTTCCAGGAAAGCTTGTGATCAGGGCAAGGGCAGGATCAAACGTAGATCAGCTCGAAGTCCATTCAGCTTTTGTGCTTAATGCGGTAGCTGGCCAGGGGGGATGTTGGCTGGGGTTTCACCTTCCTGGAGTCGGCTGAGAAGACATCTTGTTTGCCAAGATGCAAGCTCTCGATCGGCTTCCCCCAACAGGTTTTGCCAAGGCTAGATTTGTCTCTCGTTTTTTGGATGCCTCATGACTGCTCAATCGGAACGCATGCATATTCTTGTTGTGTCAAATCCTGGTTTAGTCGAATGAAAGCTGAGCTGATCAGCAAGGGTAAGAGGTCCTTCCCCTAAGCATAAAGCCTTTCCCACCCTGCAAGAGACATCCCACGCCTCGAAAGTTCCATGGAGGTCTTACGGCCTTGCTGTAGCTTTGTAGCCTGACAAGAGTAAAGCCTGTTAACCTCCGTTCGAAAGGATTCGAACTTGATTTCCCTCCAGCAGGGTAAAACCCGTATTCTCCGCCACTATTAAACTCCTCTTGCACAGGAAGAACTCTTATGTGCACTGGAGGAATTATTGGTAGGGGCCATTTTGCTGGAAGGTCCTCTGCCTGTTGCCTCGGCCATTGACCGATCACTGGACTATCGACTGGGGCTCAGTTTCACGAGGGATATTGTTACTATATTACGATATTGCTACCCTAAAATCTAAACCCTAAACCACTATTTCATCACTATATTGCTAGATTATTACTATACTATTATAGACTGCTTTATATTACTATATTACTACTATATTCTTATTATATAATAGTTATAGTCTTACTATATCATTACTATCTTACTACATTACTGTTATACTACTACATTCTTACTATACTACTATACTAGGCTGCGGCATGGCGCATGGAAATGGTAGGGTGGGCTACATGCTTCTGATTATTTTAGGGTTTAGGGGTAATATGGGGTTTAGGGTTTAGGGTTATATAGGGATGATATATAGGGGTAATTTGCCCCCCAAAAGAAATCGCAATGCGAGGTCCAAGCACGGCCCAACAAAGCTATGAGCACTATTATTTCTATTTCTAGTATTATCACTTTTATCATGACTATGATTACTACTCTTACTACCATTACTCAGGGCTTTTGGTTCCACGGCAGGAGTTGCAGTAGCGATTCTGGCTGTAGGGCTTCTTGCGCGGTCATTCATACTTAAAACAAGCCGAGCACGGTGATCTTGCTTTTTGACAACACATTGTAGGCCCTATAGTAACCAAGAGGCTGTAGTCACGCAGCTGTAGGTGTACGTGGCTCTCAGCTTTAGAGGTCTTCGTTTGTGTTGTACAGGCTACATAAAATGAAATAAGGCAGGTTCGACTAGTATTGAATGAACGATGTTAGATGATGCCAGGGCTAGTGAACTCCAACATTTTTCCTAATCCAGGTTGACAGCAGGCCGCATTCCAAAGTCTGCAACGTCAGAAATGCGCAGTAGCCATGGTCCTTTGCCATGTCTGAGTCCAAGCCTTTCTTTACAAAAGCTACCAACAGCATCGTCGATTGGTACATGTCCCCACCTTTCATGGTTTCCCTGCTTGGCTCCTGTGTCTCCTAATGCTCTTTCTCCTCCTCCTTCTTCTTCTTTTTTGTTTGTGCTCCTGGGCCCTAATCCTGCTGGATGCCCAAAGAGTCCACGTGTATATGAAAGGGAGACAGGCCCAACTCAGTGGGAGCATCCTGAAGACAGTTTATGTGACCAACTTCGGAAGCCCAAAGCCTGCAAGGAGGATCCACTCATTCTTTGAGAAAGATCCACTTCTGACCTTCTTTGGGCCGCAGGGATAGACGTTCTGTTCTGCTGCAATTCTGTGGGGTCAGTAAATATAGTAGATGGCATCACCATGGGCCAAAGGCACATCCAGCGTCAGACCCATAACTTCATGCCGATGTATACTTCACCTCCGACAGACAACCGAACTTCGCGACCGGTCCACCTCATGCCATCCCTTGCCACCTACGTCACCTTCATAAGTAAACCCACGCCCAAAGCTCACACCCAACGCTCCCTGAACACCCGGCTAGACACCGGAAATCTAGCCGCCATTTGTAATTTGAAAGGTGCGGGCTTCACCGGAGGCTTCCAACGCTATCTTCAGGCCTGCCACGCAGGTTGATGTCGGGCTCAGGGATTGGGACCGGACACGTCTAAATCTGAGCCACATGATTCCCCCAAGCTACAGACTCTATATACCCTAAGTGCATGATGCGCAGCTGCGCCAGCGCACATCCCAGAGTGCTGTAGCCCAGAGTGCTGTAGGCTTCTGCCGCCCCTTCATCAACTGATGTTGTACCTCCCTGCAATCATCTCTGATGAGTTCAAAGAGAGCCTGAGTGCTCTGGAGCCCTCCCCTTTCAAAGGCATTCCCTGCCCAAAGCCTTTGTGCAACAGCTACTGTATGTTGCAGAACACAGGATCACCCCAAGTAGGCTCTTACGCTCTCCCCTGGCTCCCTGTTCTTCAGGACCGCGCCAAGCATGCTACGAAAGGTGGCCACCTGGCAGTCATTGCAGGATGCAGCCCATTCCGTAGCGGTCACAAGAAGTTAGACGTTGAGTGCAAATCAGCTGTTAATTCGGTTCAAGACTTGTTGTGGGTAGCTCTTGAGTGGACAGCTTTCGAGTGAGGGTTCGCGGTGTCGGGCTGAGTGCTTGAGCACAGACACCGGTCTTCAACAACCAGAGTTCGTTTTGCTTTGTGTACTGCCGATCTTCTCGCGAGTTGCTCATGGCCTTGTATGATCCCATATGGCTTTGCCTCACAATAAGGTCACCTGCATTCCATTTTCGAGCTTGGGAGATTCCCAAATCGAGGTGTACAGCGCCGGCTATTGGACCTGCTAGCCTGGGACAGCTTGAGAATTCAGACCACCAGGCCTCATTTTGTGAGATGCCGCCGTGTGAGTAGGACCTTATAGACTCAAGGCTCTTGAAAGCCCAGCAAAACTGCACAACGCTCATGCCATGACTTGAGCCCAGCCGACAGCTGCTTTGAGCCGTACGTTCTTTCATACACGGCCTTAAAGTCAGCAGTCGAGTTTGCATTGAAGCCTCCTCTGAGCCGCTTCAGCTAGGACAGAAGTTTGATAACGCAATACAAATTTGTGTGCTCATGTAGGAAGTATGAAGAACCAAGAAGCAATCTTGGCGAACTTTGCAAATTTTGAGAGCCGTATGGCTGCATTTTGTACAGGCCCCTCAAGATATCCCACAGCTAAATCAAATTTCTGCCCGCAATTCGAACAGGCCTGCGCCTAAGAGACGGCGCGCGTGCTAGATTTTGTTCAAGCCCCGACCTGCGACACAAGCTCCAAAATCCCTGGCACGCACCGGGCATGTCTCTGAGAAGTTGCTGGAAACACTTTCTGGCACATGACGCTAAGGCTTCTTCTATGGCAAGTGGACAGGAACGATCAACATTGTACAGGCTGGAGCGTTGGCACCATTACAGGTATTTCACAACTTGGGCAGTGGCAAGCCCCCATCAGGAGCCTAAGCCTGTTTTGCCATGTTTGAAATGTCTGGGCTTTATTACTGTTAGCCCTCCTACGTCCACAGAAGTATGAGTGCTCTGCCACTTTATACTTTATCGCTCGCTACGCTGACGAGGCCGGCACGTACTTGTTTGACCTTGCGCTTGGCTTTGACACGACTAGCTCCATCAAGATCGACGGGAAGGAGCCTGGAAGAGTAAAACCGCTGCAATGGGCTTTCGGGCCGCTGCACATAGCATGGGGCTTGAATTGGTATTTGCTGGGCCTGCAGGACACGGGTGACACTGTGAGGCATGAAGGCTTTCAGTCGATTCAACTCCTGAGCCCTAAAGAGGGAGCTGCTGTTTGCGGGAGTTGTCGGCTAGTTTCTCTGGATTCTTGTGGGCTTCAGGTCGGTTTTACCTGGGGCTACATGCAGGCCGGCAGTAGCTGTCATCGATAGACGTAAGATCCAGCATGGATTATGTTTCAGTGTGCACCCCCATGTCCGGATTTGCTCATATGAGATGTTTCCATGCCTCCACTCACTTCAGCCCCTTCAATTCCAACATACAACCAGTTTCTCCCGAAAGCTAGCCACGCTACATTGGATGCAGGCTATCCGGCTTTCAGCGAGAAGCTGGTCTAGATGTAGACGAGCTCCAAGCCCTATGGGCTTTGCACATTCCTGTAATTCCGTAAGCAGCTATTTGCGAGAATAACCTTCGCGCACTATGGTTAGAAGACTCGCCCCCTGAAGCGCAGGAGTTCCTGACCATGGGGCAGTGCTTGTCAGCCAAGGACATGACCTCACCTGTGTGGACTGCTGTTTGAGAACGTAGCTGTGCCTTGAAGCTTTAGAGCTGAGACTTCTAAGTGGGCCCCCGTGCGCTGCAGAATCGTGATTCAGTGGTACATTGGGCGCTTTTTTTTGTTCGGGGGACGTAGCTCTCTCCTGAAATTACAGAACTGGCCAGATGCAAGAAGCATTCAGTAGCTTCGGATCCCTTCAGCAAACTTCACTTTTGGAGCTTCAGTGTTCAGTGCGAGTCCTGTGGCGCCGCTGTCTTAGCACTGCCCTTGTTGGCACGGCTCCAGCTGATCATCCCCATGTTGGGACCTCGAGGTAGACCAGTAACAGACGCAAGAGGACTTGCTCAGGGATTGCACAGAGCTCAACTGCCCTCCGCAGTTGGAATAGGCCATGGGCATCTGCCGAAAAGGCTGAGACACTGAGGCTATGTCTGTCTAGATACAAGTCTCTGGCAACGAAACTTTGCTGGAGCCTCAACTCGCTGTAGGACATGGCTGTACGAGCCTGTTATTCTGCATGTTAAGATATCTCATGTTTGAAAATTAACCTTACTCCTCGAACCGGCCATTGCGCACTCACATCCAGATCTGCAAAGGACGAGTACGCTTGCTCCATGAAGCGCTGCGTATGGGAGGTCCCTGCTGGTACCACTAAGGGCGGGAGTCGGGCTCAGGTCTTTCGACATCACGGTTTTCTGGAATGCAAGGCTAAGAAACAGTAACCCACTTGAGATGTTGCAGTTTCAAGGTTGACAACTTGTTTGATTTCCGTTGTTTGCTTGAGTGAGCTGTGCGCAAGTCACAGCTTCCTCGCTGGCCTAGACATCTTCCGGGCAAGTTTGACGTCTGCCGTGGCCAGCTATTCAACGAGGGAGGGTGGCCAGAGACAGTTTGGATTTGACCAACAACTACACAGCAGCTACATATTCTGTTGATTGCAGCTTACTGCAGCGCATTCTGCGCCCTTGAACCTCTTGTTGCTGCGCCACCCGTGCAAAAAACTGGTTTCATGGAGGACCTTCCCCTTGCAAGCTCGCTAGAGCAAATCACAACCTGGAACTTTGCATGATGCCCTGAAGATCCTCTTTGGTCTGCATGTATAAGTATAGCTTGGGCCCACACCCCCAAGCTCAGACAGACATCAGAAGTGTTCCCATACCTGGTCATCAGCTACTACATACCCTGAAGTCTAAGGGGCAATTGTTCATATGAAATTCCAGCATTGGGATTTGGACCCTCAGCGTGATAAAGCAATCCGCCATATGCCTTCGCAGAGCGACCGATGCGTAGCGCCTTCTGCTCTATCAGGCGCCTCCTTGGTTTCTTGAGACCACCTTGCCAGGATTGTTTTGCGGTGGATGGGGATCATACACTGGTTCATGGGGTAATAGCGCTCTTTTGATAGTAGCAGTATGTGGCAGTTATACAGGATTTAGGACTCAGGATGGCCCCAAGCTTTTGGTAGAGTTCCGTTCTTGGGAGGTTCTCACTTGGGAACCTGCCCAACCTGTCCTGAAATATTTCTGTGGTCCTCTTTGTGCCTGCTTTATTTATTTTGGAAGCTTCGCTTCTAGCGGTCGGTAAATGTCCTGGTGCCCTCTTTGCGCTTCTGCGCAGGAGATGCAGGCACTTTTGCCCGATCATTAGCGAGTCTAAACGTTCAGGCGTTTCAAGGATGAGGTTTAGGGCTGTGCAGAATTCAACGTATACAATCTGGAGAATGACTTAGGTCAAACTTTCTATCGGGTTGGATTTTTTCTCCTTCTGTAACACAAAAGGCATGGCCGCAGTCCGAGCAAAACCACTCCTCCTCCTCCTCCTGCCCCCACCACCACCGCCACCACCACTGCCGCCGCCACCGCAACCGCCGCAACCAACCACTGCCGCTGCCGCCGCCACTCCACCGCCGCTGCCACCGCCGCCGCCGCCCCCACCACCACCGCCGCC